GAGACCCGGAAACGCGGGCGCTGGGGGAAGCGGGGTGCGTGCAGTACCCCGGCGGGACACAACTTGGGGCGCCACGCTTGGGGGGGGGGCGGGGCTGGGCAACTGCCCGCAGCAGACCGGGAAATGAGCCGGCGGGAGGCGACATGGGGCCAAGGGATGCCAGGGCAGAGCTGGCCGCGGCTCGGAGTCAGGTGGACGGCGGCGGACGGGCAGCGGGGATGGGGTGGCTTTCCGAACGGAGCCGCAGCGAGCGCGGCGTCCCCCTTACCTGGGATGAGTGAGGAGCCGCCGCGCCGCCTCCCCAGCATGCTGGGCTCAGCCGCTTCTCCCACCGCCCTAGGTGGGGGCCATTCCGCCCGCCCCGGTAGCCCGCCCTCACCGCCAGGCGCCAGCAGCAGCCAGCCCAGCCCGGCCCCGCAGAGCAGTCCCCACGCGACCCGCGTCTTGCGGCCGCCTCAGCACCGACTCCGGCTGTCGCCGACTCAGCGCCAGCCACCAGCTCCCGGGCAGGCGCGGAATCACACGCGTGCGGCGATTGGCTATCTGGGCCCGGATGATGTGTCGGTCTCTCTGATTCGTGAGTTCCGCAGGCTACCCACCGAGGGAGGCGGGGCTCCGAATTGCGCCGCGTCCCGCTTGCTCTGAGGGCGGGGGGGTGGGTCTGACGTAGAGGCCTGGAGCGCAATTCCGCGTCTTTGCGTGTGTGCGCTCTTCGCAGGGACTGCCGGAGCGCCCCCTGCTTGGGTGGGTTGTTGCCGTGCAACGATGTGCCTGACCTGGCCTATCCTGGCTGGAGGGGAGCCGTGCGCAGGTGGCATCTCAAGCACACCCTCAACCGTTCACGTCTGTGGCCTTCATCCGTGAAACCATGGGCTAGAGCAAGAAAACGAGCTATTCCAAGAACCCATTCCCTCCCCCGACCTCCAGCCTTGTCCGCTGCTTCACATACCCACTCTGTGCCCGCTACTGGCAGAAGCGCTTCCACCTCAGTGGAGGTGCATTTGCATTCGCAAATGCAAATATCAAATTCACACAATATTACATTCCACCAAAAGTGTAAATGAGTCAGTAGGTTCTGCCCCTACTACAGGGATGGGAACGGATACCAGAAAGAAATAAGTGAAAAGTAAAAAGGAGGAAAGGGTAAAGAGGAAAGGGAGACAATGAGAAGAGGGCTGAAATTTCACAATTGAAAATTAACTGTTCACATTTACAGTTCTTTCTGTGAAATGCATAAAGGCAACCTCATTTAAAACGAAGTCGGGAAGCCCTGAAGGGGGAGGGCTCAGGCACTAAACACTCACTGCATCTTGCAGTTTCCCAGAGGAAGAAGCTAAGGGGTCTCACAAGGAGAAACTTACTTTACTACTCCAGGAGGAAGATTTTCCTCTTACCCAGCAATAACTCAGCCAATGAGTAGCTGGCACCACCCTCAACTCTGCTTTCCTCCAATCGACTTTCCTTCAAAGTATCCTCTCAGCTTCCTCCTTTTTCTCTATAAAGTAATGCTCTTCTCCTTTGTTCTCTTGCCTATGGTTTGCCATAGCTTGTATGTCCTGAACTGCAATTCCTCTACTATTCCTGAATAAACCCATTTTGCTGATAAAATAACAAATGTATTTTTAAGATTGATACTTCCTACAGGCATATCCCACCAGGTTCTGTCAAAGCAATTATTTCAACTCTATGAACACAGATTGGGGAAAGCATGCAATCAGGAATTTAATAGCTATGTTCAAAATTGCTGTCTGCCATCCTGGAAGGATTTTTGTTATCTATAGAATGAGGTCTATAGAACATGTACCTTAGTTGCTGTAAAGATCAAATGAGTTCCACACAAAAACTTGTACACAAATGTTTGTAGCAGCATTAGTCATAATAGCCAATAAAATGGAAACAAACCAGACGTCCATCAACTGATTAATGGATAAACAAAATGTGGTATATCCATACAATGAAATATTATTCATCCATAAAAAGGAATAAAGTTTTGATACATGCTACAATGTGGATGAGTCTTGAAAATATTATGCTAAATGAAAGAAGTTAGTCACAAAAGACCATATATTGTATGAGTCCATTTATGTGAAATGTCCAGAATAGGCAAATCCATAGACAGAAAGTAGATTAGTGGATGCCTTAGGATGAGGGGGTGGAGGGAAATGGGAAGTGACTGTTAATGGGTATGGGGTTTGTTTAGGGGCGATTGATGAAAATGTTCTAAAATTGATTATGGGCCAGCCGAGTGGTGGATTGGTTAAGAACTGGCTTGGGATGCCAGAGGGCCCCAGTTCGGATCCCACATATGAGGGCCAGTGACACTGCCCTCTGCAGCTAAGATGCTGAGCAG